TAAGTGGGGGGCAGAGCCGTTTGTAGAAGGAGTTCGCTGAATGAAAGGAGCGGGCAGAGCAGGGCGTGCACGAGACGCAGATAGAAGGCGTGACCTACTCTCTTGACCAACCAGAAGCCGATAATAGTCCCCTAGCGGTGGCACCGAGAAACAACTTTATTAAATGCGTAAGAGTTAAATAGAGTAACTATTCATGGTTGAAAACATATTGCACGTGATGTTTCGATTATGATCATGCAAAAAAGATGTAAGAATCGAATGTGCAGCTCGGACCCTTTTTTGCTCAGTAGGAGTCTGACCGCTCGGAGGGCATTTTCCCGGCCTTCGGCGCCTGGCGTACGGATCATGTCGATCGTTCTCCTCAAATTTGATTTTGCATGACCGTGATCGAAAAATCACGTTCACTATATTTTAAGTCACCGAGATTTGCTCTGACGCACGTATTAAGTTTGTTTCTCGCCACCACCGCCAGGACATTATTCGAGGTTTTTGTCGGGTCACATTCGGATCTGCGAAGACGCTCTGGAACACTCCCAGCCCGCTTTCGGCCAATGGCGCCTCTTTGTTTGCGTCCTGTACTCCCCAATGAATGGCTAAACTTTCTCTGTATACGGCTCTGGTTGGTGGGTTGAGGCTTTTAAATTTTCGCGCGTGCCTTGAAATGCAACGACTTTTTCGTTGTAAACATCTGGCGTACTACGTGCAGAAGGTGCTGTACTGTTCGAGGGTAAACATCCAGCGCATACACCGTGCTTTGCTGTGTTTATTTTGAACTGGACGTGGGAGAGAACGAGTCGAACCAATCTTTTTCGGCCGGTCAAGGATGGTGGGCTGGGCATGTCGCATCTCTTCGTCAGAAAACTCGTTAAGAGGTTTTGTTTTTTGAAAGACCAGAAGGAGTCTTTCTTGCGTCAGTCATTCAGGTGCAGGTACGCAGTGCATTGCCCGAATTTATTGTTTCCATTGAATTGATCTCAGTTCTGTAGTAGGCGGCTTTCTGAAAGAGGTTGTGTCTGCTTATCGGTTTTTGTCAACGCGGTTTTCGCTCGAGTATTTGTCCGGCGCATCAAGAAAGCGTTTCACTAAAGACCTGATGGTTTCCCTTTTAGAGCGCAGATTTTAGGCGCCCGTTTTCGGCTTGAGCGGCGTCGCCATCGCCGCCGCCGCCACCGTCGCCGTCGCCGTCGGCGTCACCGCGCGTTGCATTATGGGACGTTTCCCATAATGACGTCACACGTGACGTCCAGTGTGACGTCACCAGGGTCACAAGTGACGTCACCCTCGTAATGTTGCGCGGCGCCCAAATTTAGCGGAAATTTTTTCCCTAAATTTAGCATGGCAATCTTTTGGCTAGATTTAGCGGGTAAATTTTTCCGTCAAATTTAGAGGGCCATTGTTTCCGCAAAATTTAGGGGGGAAATTCGCCGCCAAGTTTTTCCGCTGAATTGAGCGGGGAGGTTTCCCAGCTAAATTTAGAGGAGAAATCACAGGGAAATTTTCCCTCAATTTCCCGGTAGTTCCCCTCCGTACCCTTCCCTCCTCCTCCTCCTCCTCAAGGGCTGCGCTCTAATTTGGCATTACAGAGAATAGTAAACGTCCTTCCCTTTTTTCTACTACGCTGTACCGTTCACTGTACATTTTTGAGGTTGGTCAGTATGTTTGGAAGCCTTTCAAGGGAGTAAGAATCCCAACCTTCACAAAGACTTCTTTTTTCTTTCTTTTTTTTTTGTCTACGGCACAGTGGAACTTTACCGGTCAAAGCTTTTTTTAGAGGCAAAAAGTTTCCACGTTTGCATGGTCGGTAAGCTGTTTACTTTGCAAAATGCCAATAACTATAGGACACGTGTCTCTTAACCACTGGGACGCAGTGTTCCTTTGGTATGTTCTTTCTAAGGGTACTTTAAAGGACCCTTAGAAAGAGCTACCGTTCATACTTCACGTCCTTCGCTACTTGTATGTGGATGGAGCAGACAACATTTTACCGTATCATATGGTCATGCTGGTCGGTCTCATAGCTTGTGTCGTTGCCGCATAATTGTAAGACACGCGGACGTCGGCGTGCTTCCTGCACGCAAGTATTTTGTTGAAACGATGTGTTTTTGGAAAGAAATGTTTAAGCTGCAGCAGCCACCCCCGGCAAAAAAAAAAAAACACCATCACTTGTCTGTGAAGGTGTTTGCTCAGCTTCATTTTTGCCTGTGCAAAATAGCCTTTGAGACTTTTGTTTTTAACCTTTTATTTATATATGTGATTTGTTTGTCATCTGAGACAAAACAGGCAATAAAGAAATATAATTGTACCCATGGCCTGGTCGAGTGCATGTCTGGCTCGGAACCGAAGGGTCGTGGGTGCGAATCCCGCCTGCGCCTTAAATAATCCAGCTTGCCTTGCCTTTAAGGAAAAGGAATTACTTTATAAAGTGAAATCATTTGAGACACGCGGCGAACTTTACTTCGCATTACACGTCATGTTTTAATCACTCTCATTCCACAAGTGACGGGACGTTTAACGTGAGCGTTGTGAGTTGTTTGAAATTTCCTGTAACATCATGACCCTATCGACCGATCCTGAATTTTCACGTTCCACCGACGCCGGCGCCGGCTATCTACGACACGAGCTCCTTAAAGCTATCACTTAAAATAAATTAATTGCGGGTTATCAATGCTGGCATTTAGAGACGATGCCTGCCGTCTCGGCAATGCTGACGGCAGATGTCGGAAGCTTTGAGAGCGTCCTGAAGCGCTGAGTATCCTGACTTATCGAAGTACTGCCATCGTTTGATCATGCCGCGGGCGCTCCTATTGCATGAATGCCGGCGACGCGTCGCCATTTCTGGCTCATGGCGCATTGCACATACAGACACGCACGCTCCTATTGGTCTGCTGTGGCTGCCGTTGACGCGCCGCCGTTTTCGAGCACGTTCCTAATAATCTACTGCAGATGCCGGCGCGTGGCGCCGCGTCGACAAACTAGATTGGCGGCGACACTCTGCCATTTTTCGCTCAAGTGCGTGACATCATGCACCAGCTTGGCCGTACTCGTTTATGAAATCCATCCAGTGCTTTAGAGCGCCCCGGTAGTGAGCTTACCAGACGATCTTCCAAAATATTTTACTACGCCTCCTCAGCTTGGTGCGCGTCTCTCGAAAATACGATTTTTGAGGTGCGATAATGGTTAAAATAAACTAAATACGATAAAGAAGATATTTAAATCCTCGGAGCGCCCGTTCCGTCCCGCCCGACTCTTCTATTCCTTTTACGGAGATGATCGAACGAGGCGCAAAATCCTCTCGCAGAAAGAGTGAAGAAAAGGTATATCTTAGACAACGTGGAGCGTTTGCAATTTAATGGTGGATGCCTCCTACGGCGATGAGTCGCAAGGGCGTATGCGCTGCGTTTTTGGTTGGCGAAGAGATACGTCGGCAGACGATCAACGCTTTCGTCAAATCCTCGCAGCCCTTATTGCAAACGCTGACCATTTACGGCATGACCCAGATTGAGCGGTTGAAGACTCTGTAATACAGGCACTCTACCTCACGTTCTTAACGTTGCGCCATCTATCGACAGTGCTTACAAGTCGCCGGGCACCGTTACGGCGCCGTCTGCGAGCGCCATTGTAGATTGCCAAAAGTTTTTTTTTTTTTTCTTTGTGAACGAAGTAAGTTATTTCGTGTATTATTTTACAGAAAAGATTTACCACCTAGGCGGATATCACAGCGCGATAAATTGAGATAGCGAATTTCGCGGCCCGTTTGAAGCGGGCTCCAAAATGTTAACGTACATGTTTTATACAAGAAAAAAAAAGTTCCAGAAATCTGAAGTTTTCGCTTACCTATTAATTTATTTATTCAAGCTATTAAAATAAAGCCATGACTATGACGATGGCGAGTGAGGAAGGAAGAATACATACTACCAAAAAGGTAGAAAAATGAGGCAAAGAGACATAGGAACGCAACACATAAAATTAAGTTTACACGGCTGTTGTACAGAGGTATAGACCTTTTCCGCTTACTCTCGCCCCCGACCGCCAAGTAGGCATATCCGGTATGGGCTACTAAAAAATATCAAAACGTTTGAACCTGCAACTAGTCAAAAAATAGAGGGAAGGCGAAACGAGAATGTGTGACGGTTACGTTTATGTCCTAAATGCCTTCTATCGGCGTGGCGACGGCAAAACAATGTTTTCGCCCATACTGGAAGTGACGACAATTCAAGATGGCGGCGCCCTTGCGAAAAAGGTCTGTATGAACATAAACACGGCCGGGTCAGCTGAAAAATAACAGCGTTTACCCTTTCATTGAAAGCGCAGTTGTAGGCATTATAAGGGATTTATTGCTTCAAGTAGTGTTTTCCAGTCTCATGTCGCAGACGGTGAGAAGGGGTATTTAAACACATCCGTTCTGCCCGCATATACTCGAACGTTTTTTAGTGCGGCCTCGCATTCCTGAAGTAAAGTGTGGAGGTAGAAAATACCTGGTTTTATCTGTTCCGAAGCGAATATGCAAGATGCTGTGATAGACTTTTACTCGCATATATACACCGTCGTCTGTGGGATAATGAAACCAATTAATACCTTTCGGCCCTTTTTAAACGCTACAGTCTTCGCAGCTTAACAATCGACAGGGCTCTCTCCATAAAAAAAAAAATAATATGACGCCAACTATTGCCTAATAAAACAGATGTCTTCCAGTCGGTAACCTCGGCGCTCCTTTGCTTGTACGAAATATCGAGCCTGACGTCAGCGAAAGTACGGGAACAAAGAACGCAGCGGTGACGGCAACAAGAAAGCATTGCCGCGGGGTTCAACCAGAGCGTTTCCGCGAGCCGCAGAAACCGTCCGCAGCTGCACACGCGTACATTTTATTTATATTAGTTTTTTTCAACCTCGGCACATGTTGGTAGAGGAACCGCACGTCAGTAACAGTGTACTACGAACTCGTCCCAATCGCCGGTCCATGAAAACATGCGCGCGCGGAAAAATACGTTAACGTAAAAAAGAAAACAAAAATTGTTGTTATACAGTACGGGCGCAGTATCGCATCAATGATGACTAGTGCAAAGTGGTGAGTCCTTTCTTGCTTTGTAAGATTTCGGGGCTTTGAAGTATATTATAATCGGTTGGTCTTCGAGGTTCGTTTTGCGCGGATTACAACGGGACATTGTCATTACGTAGAGTGCGCGGATCGCGTTAGGATCATTGTTAAAGTTCCGTTTGTTTTTGTTTTTTGTTGTTGTTTTTTTGTATACGTTTCGCGTTACGGTAACAACGGAATTTCGTGGATGCAGAGAGTATCCTTTCATCGCCGTGCAATTATATTGAGTGTTATTGCCGCTCCACAAGTGGTCATTCGATGATAACCGGAGCAGAGTTGCTTCTAACACTGCACTTGTCGAGATGTACGTCCAAAGTAATGGATACTTTAATAATTTATCCTATTTATCCGGCGATAACGTTCGAAAGGCCGACTAAGGTTACATAACACTTCCATTTGTTTTACTTTGTTCAGACGATTTCGATTACCGCAATTGTTGCATCGTTCAATTTTGTATGCTATTGTTTCCGACAACGGGCGTTTAGAAGCAGAAAACTACCTTAATAAAAATAACTCTGAAAGATCACATGAACATAAAGTAATTTTAACGTTATAGTTTGTGTTACCTATAAAAGGGTGCCAATAAAAGGTGCGGGAAGTGCAATCATTGACTAGGGCCAGATGAGCTCTTGTAACTGAAAAAGAAACACTGAAGCTTATCTGTCCAATTCTGCAAGTGCTATAATTTATTAGAAACAAGAGTCATAAGAGGGGTACTCATGAGCTTACTAAGGAGTATAAATGCCATTCCTAGCAAACTCGTAATAACATTCAGCATGTACACTCCAAGCTCACTTTAGATAGCATGCAGAAATTAGTTTCTAAGCATATCGCGCTGGGATTTACTAGAGAGGCGCCGGCTAGGTGGTGGAAGCTTGGAGTGAAAATAACAACCGATAAACGTACCTTGTTCGACAAAAAATATATAAAAGCTTTTTTTGGGGCAAGTTACGACAGCAGTCGCAGACGCTGTCAGGACCGTGCTCGCACATATATATTTTATTTATTTATTTATATACTCCTAGAGGCCCCCGTGAGCTATCACATAGAAAGGGAGATCGCAAGAATAATTTGAATAGTTATGCCAAATCAACCAATACCAAAATATATGTACCGCCGACAGATGTCGTGAGCGTCAAAGGCGCGCCTGCGTCGAGATTAGCAGACGACCTTCCCAACATTTTCACTGTGTCGGAGAGCGACTTTCTAAAGCACAATTCTAAAAGTGTTAAAATTATTCATAGAAAAAAAAACTGAATGTGAAAACGGGTTTTTAAGTCCCTCATAGCTGTCAGTTTTGGGTATGGAGATGATCGGTATAGGAGCCGCATACTTTCTTGTCTTAGGTTACGCCATCTGTGGATAGCACATACTTGGCGAGTTTTTTCATGACACAGTCTGCGAATGCTGCCGCATAATTGCCCTAAACAGGTGTTTCTTTTCCTGTTTTTTTTTTTTTTTTTTTAACAAGGCGAGTGCATCCGGTGGTGCTTTCACTTCTAGCATTCGCCACCCAGCCGCACCGTTGTAGTAAATCCTAGCGCGGTACGTTGAAAATAAGATTTTTGCAAACCGTCAGAACTGGGCTCTAAGCGTTAGTATACAAGACGCAGTATAATGTCCGATCAGTAATAAGGAATCACGAGAGGTATATTCCCGTGATTAGTAATAATTTCAGAGAAATCACACCCCAAGAAACAATTAACAACCGCTGAAACGGGTTTCTCTAAATATCCAAGGCAGGTATAATTAATGCTGCCATGCCACTCCGCGAAAGGGGTTTCCGACATGAAACTCTATTACTAAAATATTCATTTGTATCACGAGCGTCACTCGTGGTACAAATAGATATATATTTCGGTCAAACATTATATTTGATCTAAATATATAAATATATATTTAAAAAGGAATGTAAGGCAGCTTCCAAACTTATAGGTGGTAAATTATTCGTTAGGCTTACGGAAATGCTTGCCGCCATGGATCGCCATAATTCAACTCAATGTGTCGGTAAGCTTGATGCAACGTTACTAGAACCCTCAGTTGGGAAACTCACCGTTGAAACATGGGTCACTGGCGTCCACCGAGACCGAGCTAAATACGACAACAGCGCCACTATTTATAATTTGTCTGTACTGTGGTCACCTTGAGCTTTTAGAAAGCATGTTTTTGCGTAATTTTGTACTAAACTCTAATTAGAGTTTAGTACAAAATGATGTTCGCGTGATGTTTTCTAACATCTTTAGTTTGCAAGGTTTTTGCAGCACAATTAATATTGTTTTTATACAACCATGCCTCATCGGTGATTTCAGGTAGCGCGTCCCGACCTAGGCACACCTTAACCTGAGTAGTAATTCGCGGCGCGTCGGCTTGGGAGACAGAGGTGGCACCCCTGAAGCCCCTTCCACCGCGACTGTTTCGGCGCCAAAATGGCCAATTAAAGCCAAAATGGAAGTCACAAGCAGTTCCTCGTGTGGCCGCTGCGGGAGAAATGGCGGCGTTGTGATCGCCATTAGCTCGGTGCTTGAGTACGGATCGGTGCCATTTTTTCGGGGCAGTCTCTATGGCAGTTTCCCAACTGAGTCGTTTTAGTAACGTTGGCTTAATGTCAGGGCATTTTTAGAAAATCATGCATTGTCTGACCTGTCTGCCTGTCTCCTCCTTTTTATTTAATATTTACTGTTTTTCTTTTGTCCTCCCTTCCATAGAATGGCTATAAATGACAATACCCTCCAATTTTATTATCACTAAGTTGAGGCCTCTCGTCTTCAAGACCATTGAAGCAATATATTTTTAATTCACACGGGAACTGTTCCTAATCGTTATGATTAGGAAAGGAGATTGTCGGTTACGTGGATAGCGCCTTCAGTACTTTTATCGGACTTAGTGTACTTTCGATGGGGAAATAACTGTCGCGATAAGTAAAATCTCAAGAGAAAACTAACACGTGCCAATCAACGTTCTTAATATTGCTTTTGTTGGTGTCGTTGCAAATATATCTTTGAAGACCTTAAGAGACTATTTAAGTCTAAACAAAATTAAACAATTCGCGAAAAAATGAGATTTATCCTTGAGAAAATCAAATAAATAAATAAATGTGTGTTCTCTGAGGATTTTGTGTGTTGCAGAAGAACAGATTTCTGAGAAGTATTTTCAGCTATTGCTCTTGTAAGATTGGGTATTTAAGATATAGCTCCTATTTCATATAAATTAATCTTTAATGGAAGTCCTCATTATTTGCTACGAAACCAGGCTTTATTCATGCATGCTCTCTAGTATTGATGGCAAAGTCACCCAATATGTGTTGCACGTGAGACCCATATTTCGGCACAAATTTGTTCTTATGAAGTGGAAACTTCAAACTTGGACCGAAAGTCAGTCTTACAAAATACGGCGGGTTGCGCTAGTTGGTTTATGACCTAAAAGTTAAAGGGGAGGCGTAGCGATTTTCGTACTTCAATTATTTACTTAGAATAAATCCTTGACGTTCATAAACCAAGAAACACGAGTTAGTATTTCCTCTCCATGCAATGGCAGTCACAAAAAAAAAAAAAAATGGAGAAAAACGAGCAGTGTTTACAGCCCTCAAATTGAGGCAAGACGAAGCGGCTACGTGATCTGGAGACGATTAGATGCCGTCAGTGTTCATCATAGACATGCTCTGGAGTTGAATATAAGCAGAAGGCACGTGCTCTCGAGCTTCAGACATTCTTAGGGTTCTGCTATTCTCGTCACGGCAGCGATTGGATACCAGCTATTGCTCGAATGCTTTTTGAGGCATTTATTTTCTTATGAGCAAAAATGCAGTGCTCACATGAATTCCAAAGTTCATGCCCGTCATCAGAATGTGCCACAGCAGTTCTTGTTGGCATTCAGACGCGAAAATCCTGCCCGCGCTATGCTCCCACAAATGTTAAGCCGTGAGCAGACGAGAGACCGAAACAAGACGCAAAATCAGCAGCGGGGGACCCACCTATAAAAGGGCGTCAGCCTCCCCAGCGGATGCGGGTTGCGAGTCAACGCGAGCCGATAAAGGTCACGTGGCCGATGGCGAGTCCTTCTGCGTCCGCAGGCGCTCTCCATTCTGCGGTCTTTCTGAGTTAGTTACGGTAGGGCAAAAACTACACAACCAGTTATTCTCACGAGAGAATAACTCGGGACAGAATCTAGTTCTCTTAATTTTGACAGCTGCGGCATATTTTAACAACAGGGAACAATCTTTTATTAAAATGCGACAGATGATGCGAATATAAAAAAAATCCAATAGGAATGTTTATGTAATTAATTTACTGATTATCATCACACACTCTCTGCATGAGGTCCGCCGGGTTTAATAACGCTATCCCATAAGAATCAACTCTCTATTTTCAGCGTGTTTTCTTTTTTAAAGTAGTTTGCTGACTTAGAAACAAACAAGAAATGAGCCGCATTTGATTATCGTCATCCTAGGACCCTGGCAGTCTTGTACGCGTAACTCGGCAAAGTGATCGAATAGGATTACAATTACTCTCGCCTAACAATTATTCAATTAGACTACTTGATTGCTTAAGAATGGAGGTAATTGGACTTCAGTTGAAAAAAGTAACCGTTACCTTTCCGAAAACTTCGGATTTTCAAAATGATATATTTTTCTTCCGATTCAAAAACGTAGTTTCTATTTTGTACTGTCTATTATTAAATTAGGATCACCGAATTATAACTTTTTATCTTCTTCATCCACCAATTTCGGTAAACCATCATCCTGTCGGAGGCCTGGTTCGAGAATTCCTCGGTAGGAAACTTGTACAAACAAAGGGTGCCATCAACAAGGCGAGGGAGGAATAGTATCGGTGCCAAGTAATTGTATTACTTCTATAAGTAATCAAATTACCCCTGCGATTGTTTTCTACTCCATGTAATCGAATGTTACAAAATGATTCCAAAGAGTAATCGATTACAAGTAATTACAAGACCATTGTGGAAAGAGCTGTTCTTGGGGTTTTCCTTTCTCCCCGTTTGCGTTCGTTTTTTTCCTGTTTAATCAGGTTTTGGAAACTAAACTTTCAGCTGTGTTCGAGACTTTTGAGTGTGTGTGTTGTTATCTGCTGTCTCAGGGTTTTTGAGGAATGTTTAATGTACACCAGCTCCTTTGCGCCCTTAAATTTATTTCAGTACCTTAATTATTTGCATTGAGTACCGTACAAGTCTTGTCTCTGAGTACTTCTTGTGAGCACGCCTACACTGCGCCACCCCTCACTACGTCGTCAGATATTACGAAGAAGAGACTGAAAGGAAAAACAAAATCACCTTATATCCTTGAAATTATATCGGATCAAAGAAGCTTCCGCGTGGGTGGCGTTGCTTGCGAATATATACTTGAGACATACTAGGGCCCGTAAGGCTAAACAAAGTAAGAAACATACCAGTTCAATATTGTTAAACGAACCTTTTAACAAAAAAAAAAACAAAAAAAAACAGGCTACAATTGGTTAGTTTTCTGTACGCACGTGTTTTATCCAGTCGTACATAGCCGAGGTTTCGCGGCGGTGGCAATATTATTTCGTTTATACGGCCCCGACTCCAGGTGCACTTTTTTTTTTTGTTGAAAATCACAAAGTACATCGAGCTTTTTTTCAGTACAACAACGAGTAGGCGACTGCGGACCAATACATAAATACGGGAATGCATGAAATCCCATAATGACCCCATAAAAATGTAGGCGGATATACTTCGGAAGGATCCCATGGATGAGATGATTCATGTTCACCAAATATGAAGAGTATACTGTCACTCCAGTCTCGCCTACGAGACAAGGCCTGCACGTGACGTCATCCTTAGTGGATCCCCAGCTCGACTCCAGCGGCAAATATGGCGAACCTTGACGAGAGTCGCCGCAAAGCGGCAGACGCGTCCGTCTTGGCGTCGCCGCTTTCTATAGCGTCGCGCTCGTTGTGTGACGCTGCGAGACGCGTTTGTTGCGACGCTGAGACACACTAGGTGGTGCTGCGTGGATTGACTACGGATGACGTAAGGGGCGGAGGAGGTGCAAGCCTTCTCTTCAAGGTAATTTTTTGTCCATTCCCGCTCGAGAACTTGGCCGGAGCCTGAGCCTCGGACTCAAGTGGGTTTGCTACTTGGAATTTCAATTTAGACGGGCGCAGAATCGGAGCACTTTCAGTTATTAAAGACGCGCATTCAAATTATTCGACTAGCAGACAGTGCACTGACCAAATGTGTGATTAACGTTGTTACACAATGGAACCGAACACTTGTCTCAGTAGAAGCAATTGGCGAAGCTCGCTAGAATTTGGCACTCGCAAAATAAGTTCTTAACGATTTGAGAATTGTATTAATTCATGGCTGTAACTAGGGGGGTACCGTCCAGAGGGAACGATATAGTCACCAGAAGAGTTCCTTCCAGACGCAACCGATAGTCACCTCTAGAGCTCTCCATATCGTCTTGCGACTTTTCTTCGACGACATATTTGTTCTTCACAACGATACAAAATTTAAAAAAAAAAAAATCGCCAAAAGTTTAATTGAAAAACAAATAATTACGCACACCAATTTCGGGATTTTATCTGGTGTCCGCTGCGTGCGAAGCGGATACGTTCCTACAAAGCTACGCCACAGCTGAACTCAGTTTTGTTTCGTTTTATGTTACGTATTTTTATACTATGCTTAATTAACTCTCCAAGATCCTAAAATCTAACACGTGATTTCCTGTCTTGTGTTCACCCAAGCACTCAGCCGGGAACATTACTTTCCGCTGGGCCCTCGGGACGGCGCCAACGGAACTCCACAGGGAGCTTGCTCTCGTTCCTTCTGGACGGAACACTGGACACTTCGTTAATTTATTTTATTTACGCAATACTGCCACCCCGAATTGTGGCTCAAGCAGGAGTAGATATAATGTCATACACAGCTAGATTGCCAGAGATAATACAATGCAACACAATGTGTGGAAGGGAGCAGGTGAAAAACACGAAAATATATGTATATATATAGAACGCAAAGAAAAGGTTATACAAAACATAAAAAAATTCTAGATATTTACAGCGCTACAAAAAAAATGTAGCCGATATATAAAACAGGGAAACACGTAAAAAACATACAACAAATACTTTTGCATTGAAACAAGGTTCAATAGATTCAATTACATTGTCTGAAGTAAATAAATGTACAGGCAGGTGGTTCCATTCTCCTATTGTTCGGAAAAGAGAGTTTACTTAATTAAGACCTTTTGTGTGGGCAAATATAGCAGTTTTTTCTTTGGGATGGCCATGTCTAGTGTGTCTAGTGGGGGATGAATTAATATAAAATGATGATTGAAGCCAAAGTTTAGCGTACCAGAGTTGATCCATCAATTTCAATGTAGCTAGCTTTCTTCGAGATTCTAGAGGGATAATTTTGTTAGCTCTAATTAAATCAGTAGGGAAGTCAGGCCCGTGCTATCGATTATACATAGAAAACGAACGGCAAGTCATTGAACGAGCTCAGGGTTGTTAATAAAGCGTTCTAGAATAAGAGGGCTCACCGCTGAGGGGCACAAAGCAGCTTGCGGCTCCCCATAAAGTCGACGCATGCGCACTGCAACCCCCCCCCCCCCCCTTTCTTCCGTAGCTGCCAGGAGGATCCACTGTCTAAAACTCGCTAATACATTTTCTTTTTTTTTGGCGCCCAGCTTTTAGTCGTTTGTACCTGGGGTGAGCGGCGTCGGCGTCGGAGCAGCCACGCGCGTTGCGTGATCGGACGTTTCCCCACTAAAGATAGCGGGGAAATTTTTCCGCTTGAGTTAGCAGGAAATTTTTTGTCGCTAAATTTAGCGGGGAAATGTCCCTGCCAAATTTAGTGGGGAAATGTTCCCGCTAAGTTTAGCGGGGAAATCGACATCACGTGGCCACAACACCAATTCAGTTTCCTCGCTAAATTTAGCGGGCAAAATGACGTCACGATTTCGTGTCACGTCGCTCATGAACAAATTAACGGCAGAAGGAGAGAAGAGGAGGAGAGGAGAAGAAGGAGAGGAATAAGAGGAAGAGGGGGCATACCCTCACCTCCGTACCCTCCCCTCTTCCTCCACAACAGGTGCGCTCTAGTTTCGCATTACTGAGATGTGTACACATCTTTCATCGTTTCTTTTTTTCTAAAGGGATCCCACACAGTTTACTTATAAAACAGCGTGTAAGAAATATTCTCTTTTTGTTAATTGCAACATTAACTTTTTTGGTAGGTGGGCCTTCCAGTCCGATCAAGTCTTCGTGTTGCTGGCTGCGACAGCGGCGGTATGTTTCTGCGTGCTGGTGCTGTGGAAGGTGGGCGTGCTGGTTCACTCTGCCGCCAGGGGGCGCCGACTGCCCCCGCCCCAGCTGGGCTACGTCCGGCTGGCCAGCACCAGCGCCGACATGAGCTGCGTGGACCTGCAGTGCACGAGCATGGAGAGCGACAAGCGACACTACCGGTTACTTGAGGCCGCCCAGACCATCTAACAACACATGTCTCTCTTTTCCTCAATCATACACTCGGTAAAGATTCAAATAAATGCCCTACTTTTTTTTTTTTGTAAAGACAATACACGGCTACTGTTGTCCTTCACACTCGCCGTTAACTCGGTGGGTTTTTCCCCTTATGTATTTAGCACAATGCTGTGCGGTTCAGCGTGCCAAACAACGACGTTTTTGAAACGCGTTTTTTTTTTTTATTAGAGGGAACGGAGGAACGTTGTCGTTCCTTTTTGTGTCTGTGGAACTGCAACGGGAACTCGGTACGTTTTTTAAAGAACAGCAGGAGGAACGGCATCTTTTTTTTTGTATATTCATTTACTTGTTTATCCAAATCCGGCTCTTTATTATCGTCCGTTTCAAACTCCCAGATAGTAAAAAAAAAAAAAAAGAACAACGGAAACAAATGTGATTGTGGCGACTGGACATGTAGTTCTTAATGCATATATTCACTAGCTTCCTTTATTTTATCTTCGGATTATCCATCACAATATTAAATAAAAATACGCAAGTATCGTAATTTAGCGACATGTTCCAATCTTAGATATGGAACGGGGATGCGTTTCCTTTGAAACACCGGATTCTGTAAAGGGAACTCTTTGCATGAATGAGAAGTAATGAAGAACGAGCTTTTTCCCCCTTTTAGAGAAACCCGTGAAACACTGATTTGGGGAAACGATCTGTCACTGAACCAAACGTTATCGTTCTTTTCATAAATACCACTTATAGTTTATACTGGACATTCATAACCTACGGAACATGCATTAGTTTTTATTATTTTTACATCACGCACTGGCGGTCACAAGAAAATGGCAGAAAAATGTTCAGCGTTTTCTCCCTGAACTCGCAGCCAGAATAAGAGCGGATATATGATCTATTGCTGAATCGGGGTAAGTCAAGCTGAGTGCGATTATAATATAAGCTATAAAGTGAAGAAGAGGGTCATTAAAACGCAGAGACATTAGCTTGAGCGGATGGCTCTATCCTTGGGGACAACTTTCAGTGGGATTTCCGAGGAGAAGGATAGAGTGCGCACAGCTTTCATCACTGCTTGAACTAGGAGAGAACACGCGTTCCTCTACTTTTGACTAGTGATGTTGCGAACGTTTGTCTAACCAGAGGTTCGACCTGGGACCTGAGGTCCGACCGGCTCTTGGAACCTTCGACCTGGCTGCAAAGTTCGACGATGCTCGACTTATATACAGTGTAGCTCGGCGTCTACAGGGAGATTTCGAATTTTGGGAAACAGACAATCTAGAAAGAAGTTTATGTTGTATTTTATAAAATGATTACCAATGTTTACACTATAAAAAAGCAAAAATACAAACTTTACATGCTCTTTTTAGAATGTATATTGCGAACCAGCAAAGCGATACATTCAACAAATATTGCACTTTTCCTCCGCCAGGTGGTTTCAGCTCGTTTTCAAATTTTCGCGCAAGCGCAGGGAATTTAAACTACCCTCAAACTTTCGTCAAACTTCGCGTTGAAAGTTCGAGAAAATCAAATTTGGCCGATCTCGAACATCGGCAGGTTCGCGACATCCCTACCTTTAACGGCATTGCCACGGAAAGTTGTTCCCGAGTATAGCAGACGACACTACATAATAGGAAGCGGGTAGGAAAAAAAAAAAAGAGTGACACGATAGAATGAAATAAGCAAGCCCATGTAGCACACTTCGGCACAGGCTTGGGCCAGACTGGTGTTAGCAAGTGCCAACTTGGCTCAAGGCTGGCACAGGCTTTCGCCAAACTGGCCCAAAGTACAAGCCGGGAAAGTGTGCTGCTAGGGGAACTACGGAGGATGATGAGGTGTTCAGAGTGACATTATCTCACACCTTAGAGGGTCAGTGTCAGGCCAGTGTATCTCAAAAAAAAAAGAAAAAAAAAATAAGCAAGCAGCTGCCGAGCACTTTCTCAACGGTAAGCAGCCCATCATTCATGTCTAGGAGTGACATTTCAAGTGTATGTCTTTTGGCAACCTAAAAGGCACATACAATGAGGAAATGTTCCTTGGACTCGCGGAGTTTCCTACGCTGCAGAATATGGTTGTTGCACGGCCCCTCTAAAACGTGATCGAGAAATCAACTGACGATGAAAGATTTGTGCTCAATTCCCAAACCATTAAGATAAGTACTACTGTTCTACACTCTAACGAATTCCGGTCATAAAATAACCCTTCGAGTTACTTCGGCTTGTCCATATTTTGCACACCAAAAAGTTATTTAAAACACCTTTTAAAAGAAATCTAGTGAAAATCCTTTACGGGTTTTAGCTCATTTTTTTTATACGAAAGCTCATTGTGAAAAGCCCCATTAAAAGTTATTCTGTGCTCTTTTTGATGAAACAGTTCTTTATGGACTCTTCCAAGAGTTCTTTTAACCATTTTTTATAAACAGTTATTGATTAATAACCCCTGAGAAGTTCGTATCTGCACGTTTTTCGATGAATAAATTCATCACAAAAGAACCCTTATTGAATTATTTTAAGATCGTTTTTAGGAAACCTGTTATTCATAAGGAACATTTGAAGAGTTCTTTTGAGCTCTTTTTAGGATAAGTAAGTCAATTGAGAGGCACATTTGAAGATATTTTTGAATCAGGAGACGACAGATAAAAGAGGGGCAATACACAACACGTTTGAACTTGGTATGTTGTTGTAAACTTCTGTCGACGTGCCTCACGAAAATTCGCTTATTTGAAAAACAGCTGAAAATGAACTCTTTCACAAAAGTGCCCTTCATGATGATTTTTCTTCATGATTTGACGCCTCAAAAGCCAATAAAAACTTAGCCCTTTTAATATATCAAATACGGCGAAAAAAGGTTTGGAACAACGGGGCTTTTCTTCTTGTGCTATACCTCTATAATGGCGTACCAACTTGCTTTTGAGTGGGAGGCAAACCAGACCTTTCCTCCCCACCCCCACCCTTAGTATCCCTTCGGCGCCGTCGGCCAGTGTTTGCTCTGACCAGTGACGGCTGTTTCAGGGGGGGGGGGGGGGGGGAGGGTGCAAAACACATGCCTTGCCCCCCCCCCCCTCCCCCACCACCGCGACCCCCCTTGCGCCCTTCCCCCCGTTGGTACGCCCATGCCTCTATTGAAGAATTGCTGGCTTCGATGGTACTTCAGGAACACATTCATAATTGATGTTTATGTCATGATTAAGTGTAGATGTATAGGTCAATAAATGTAAGAAACACCAAGAAATGCCCTAGAATCTCCAATTTGCCACTGGCCATAGGTGGAATCAACATAGAAGATACAGTTGGTGGGAAGTAAAATGACATTTCTTGGATATTATTGGAATAATATTGGGTACATAACTAAACGTTTATCTACCAGATATATAAAAATTCAGGTTTGCTGAAATGACACACTTTAAAGACTCATGAGCGTTGACTTTTGTCCATGCGACTTTAATCTACTTCCTTTCAACGCCAAGAGCTTTCAAAGTCTGCAACAAATTGTAGTGCCCCTAGAAGTGTAGCGTCAACACAAAATGTTCATGACGATAAAAATAACTTGTGAACTGAGTTTCGAACATCATACAAATCCGATGTTACCTTGCAAGGCTAAAGCTTGATATCTACATTTTGCAAAAAGCTGAAAACCAAATGCGCATACTTGGCTTTACGAAGCTAATATTTTTATTAGTTGGTATTCCAGTCAAAATATATGATGGTCTTAACACATCACATGGAAGTGTCGAGGGAAGTTAAGGACTATTTAAAGTAAAAATCGTCATGCACATTCAACAAAAGTATGGGAAATATTCGGACAGAAGAATGTTCCCTCTAATTCGCCCGAATAGTGTGCTAGGTTTGCTAGGAATCTGTGAAATTAATTACTTAATTAAATGATTGATTAATTATTTACTTTATTAATTGATTCATTCATTTTTTCAGTCAATTGATCAATCACTCGTTCATTCATTTCTTTATTTTTTTTGCTCATGAAGAGCTTGGCGCCTTGATAATGATGCACAACAGATTGATCACAGGTTACTTACAAACGCCACAAAAGTTGGATTAAAAACATCAATATCTGCTGCTACGCGAAGGGTGTCATACAAGTGTTGAATACGGGTCATGTTACTGGTTGGGATGTTTTGAATACCATGAGATGTTGGAGAAATCCACAAAAATCGGCTCGGGACATAAATATTAATATGTGAGATCAGGACAACCAACTAATCTATAAATACATTTATACAAAAAAAATTAGATCTCGCGCACGTCGTCTAGAACTAAACATAGGACAACTGCATCGTCCCAAGAGTCTTGCATAAGAATATTAAACAATACGACCAATATAACAATCATAAAAAAATTCGTAAGGAACTCGTCTGAACATTTTCTATCCCCTCTTGACTCGTAAATCTAATCCACTTCCAGACAACATAGGAAATCTCAAACTTATACCGAATTAACAAGAGGTATAATTTCTAAATACCCATTTTGACTTGGAGAGCTCACGCGTAATTCTAGAGATGACACCCAGCTTACTGAAAGAGTCATTTATAAGGTTAACATGTACAGTAAAAGTTAAGGGAGAGTCTACGTATACACCAAGATCACATCTGTGCTCGAGTGTTCGCAACGAAACGTTGCCGATCTGGATAGTAAAGTTGATTTTTCCTACCTTTCTGGACATTGACAAAACAACACTTTTAGAAGGATTGAGCATCAACATGTTCGCACGACACCAATCACACACTGATCTAACAACGTCTATAAGCTCTTCGCAATCATCCAAGGATAACGTCTACCTAAATATCTCGATATCATCTGCATATTGCAAGATGACTGAATTAGGAACCCATTTGAACCAAAGTCATTAATAAAAAAAAGTAAAAAGAAAATATCAACCCCTGTATGAACCCCTGCGGCGCAACCGAAAGAGAAACATAGGGTTGTAAAGAGACGTCCAAGAACACGTGCAAAATTGTATCTATTGAACCTATAATCAAGAAGCAATGAACAAGCTGAGGTAATCATACCGTAGGCTCCTAGTTTATGT